GCTAGTTGATAACTCCAGTGGTATGGAAAAAAGTAGGTTCTTAAATTTGCTCTCAAAAACTTACTGAAGCTACAGATGTCAGTTCAGAAAATTTACCTTGTTTGTCTCCAGTCCTCCCAAACACTTCTTCCAGAGCTGCCTTTCTAGTTCTAATCAAACCTGCCGCTTTAGCAGATTCAGCTGATGGAGAAAGGCGTGCCGAGATTTCAGAAGAGGGACCCTGTCTTTTACGCAGCTCCATGCGCCGCCCCTGTCTACGTTTGTGCGAAATAAAGCTTCTTCATTGGCGCAACTGTGCACAATTAGCATACATGTCAATAAATGAAGGCTGATATTGTTTCATGCAAACATTTGCATGGTTAAAATACAGTCAAACAACTAGTTGTAGCTAGTTTTATACATGTAGTTAGCAGCCTGTGCGCTTAAGATGTTATCGCTAACGGCTATGGAAAACAACAGCAGACCTGCTGCAGTCTAACCTTTGCAAAGCTAATGCTACTAAATTTAATACCAAGACAGTCCCATAGTTAATGCTACGCTTTTTTTCCTCTACCACCTCTGTGTTAGCCCTCATCAAGCTGACAGCATTAACTTTATCCAGCATTGCTAGCGTTAGCTATTTCCACAGTGACATGCTACGTTCAGACAGAAATGTCTTTATTTTATCAGATAAAAGTTTCAAATTCATTAACAGAAGCCAGCACAGGTAACATTAGGCCTGTTGTTAATTCTTACCCACACTTATAGTTAGCTAGTAGTTTTAAAACAGAATAGCACAAAGTGTCCAATTTCGACCTTTGTAATATTTAAATCTAGTCTGGAATGTCTGGTCCCATATCTACACTTACATTTCTTCCTCCAATGAAATGAAGAAAACAGGAAAACAGATGACTAAATCAATAATCCATCCTCTTCCATGCTAATGCCCTTCACACTGGACTGAATGGATTCAGCACCTGTGCTCAGCCATTCACTGTACTGTACAGATGAATAGAAGCTGTCATTGTCAAAAATAAACCTATTTAGTTAAAGCCTGTATTATTATTATCATCATCATCATCATCCTCATCATCATCATTATTATTATTATTATTATTATTATTATTATTATTGACCTGACAAAGTGTGTCACTGATACAGTTTTTTTCTGTCTGTTTTTGTTACTTTGTTTAAAGGTGACTTGTGATTTAATTATCTCAGTTTACTTGGACTTCTTTATGGTAAAGCCAGTATGACTAAATTCAGCCACCAGTCTTCCTCAAAGTTGTGAGAGAGGTGTTGATTTTTATAAAAAGTGTGTTAAGTGTCCTTTGTTTCTCTTGGCAGTTTCTCTGCTTTTGGACTCTTTAGCTTGTCGTGCTTTTTAATATATCGATTTGCCGAAACAAAACCAAAAAACACAGCACATCATTTTCTGCACTTTTCTCTGTTACTCTGTCAATGGGTGTCAGGGTACTCATTCTAGCTGTTTAAACATTCACACGTGTTGTCCGTGTTGTCCTGACCTGATCAAAGTCTAGTCTAGAACTTAGATGTAGAGGATAAATTTCCATCAGACCACAAAGCTTTTTATTAAACTTCAGCCCATCTTTGTCTCTACCACTGACTTTACTGCAAATAAATTCAGTGATGCTCTTGTCAGTAAGTCTTTTCCTCTTACAACAGCCCTGCCGAATCCCAGTGAACTCCCAACCTCTTTCAATAATCATTGTCATGTAGCTGAACTGAAATGCAATGTTAAAACTCACTCTCTTCCCTGCACGACTAATTATCTAGATTACTTAACCCTTTATTGGGCAATTTTCAGCCTAAAAACGCTATCCCTCTTATCTTGATCACTTAATGTTTTTGGAATTGAATTGTAATCAGAGGTTATCTGAAAACATAGTAATCCTCACTCACTACCAACTAAAAACACTGCCAGTTTCAAACCATTAATCATTCATAGACATCATGTCAGCAAGGTTGTTTTTTTTTGGGGGGGGGGGGCGGGGGCGGGTTAGACAGATACCAGTTGACTCTTTTACTTATAAACAGTTCTTCGCTTCTGGTATTCTTCCAGCTGTTTTTGGACATAGAATCATTCATCTGCTACTGAGAAAGCTCAATTAGCATTCCCAGGGGCCGTTTTGATTGTTTTCAATGATCGACAGAGGTGTCTGCTCAGTGTTTGTGCTTTTATATTTGATTACTGCCTTGGATACTTTTGCTCACTGTTTTCTCATGCTCTGTCTATTAAGGTTAACGCACCCCACTTGCCCATTTTGTTTGTGGTGTTCCTGAATACTTTATTTTTTATGTATTCATTTATGTATTATTTCATTAAAGGCAATTTTCAGGCCTACCAATCACATTAAGCTCTTTTAAAGCTTCAGTTAAGTAATTTTAACCCCACACCCGAGATATCAAATTTGACAGATTTTTAAGTGTCCAGGACCCTCTTAGGGACACTCCCAATAGGGGCTAAAAATCTGGGACTCTCCACCAATTGCTCTTAGAGCTGAAAAAGCTCCTCGGATGAGAAGTGAAACAGCTTCAAAAAACGTAAAGAAGTCCAGACGCGTTTCTTTCCAAACTCAGTCACCTCAAGGAACTTTATATTGTAAGGTAAAGACTCTACAATAACAACTAAGGCTATTTATGGAATGACTATTAAGTCTTCTTTAAGCCAGCCATTTTCCAAATGTCCAGAAGTGTCATATTTATGGTCTAACTTCATTGGTTGAAAGGGCTTACACCCCTTTTCTGTTCAGTTCCTCCCTTCCACTTCTTTAACATATTATCCAAAGTACCCTGCCAAATACTTTTTAATGTGGGACCATGCTTTATATTGCATACTGTTGTAAATGTAATATGCAAGTACAATGCTGCTGTTATATTAGTCTATGTACAAGAGTTCTTCTGGTAGAAATGCATTTATTAAGTCATCCGAAGTCTGCAGGAATTAAGTCTGCACATGTGTGCATGTGTGCCCACTGCTTGGAATAGCCAAGCCATGTGATTCTTCTAGATTCTATTTCAGATCGCCTACTGTCCAAAGCCCCACAGTCTTCACAGCAGCTTAAAGAAAAGTTAACAAATGCACAGTTTAATCCTTCTGTCGTCGCTTATCATTTCATCAGGAGTTGTTAGGTCGAGCGCTGAAGTGTACCTGTAGGTGTGTTTGAGTAAGTACTCTGTTCTGTCTTTTTCTGCCTTCACAACGAACAGGTTACTTTGACATAAGGTTCAGAAGGCGTATTTTAGTTTGTTTTGAATGATCAGATTTCATTCAATTTGAACAAAATGTGACAAAATGTAGATTTTTCAACAGAAAGTTGTGACCCCAGACTGACCCGTATACTCAAGTCAGTCAGGGGTTGTGTGATATATATAGGTCACTTTCATTGGTTTGTTTTTGGTTTTTTTCTGCAAGGATTTTATGACTGCACCAGAACATTTTTTAAAATCTTTACACTAAATTGGATTTTTATTACAAATTTGTATTTATGAGCTTCTGAGATCATAGACAGATGCAGCATGTGTAATGCTGTGATAATCAAAGCAGTATGCAGTATTAGTGCTTCTGGTTTAGTCCAGATTTAATAGATTATTTGTACAATGGTTGTTCTTAAGATGAATAAAGCATATCATTTCTCAACTTTTACTTGCGCATTGTTACTTTTCTGCATGTCTATACACGTTAACCATTCACTTTCATTTGCTGAATGAGTGAAATAATATAGGGTTAATACATGGCATGCATTAAGGAGAAATGGCAACCTGAAGTCACATTTTACTTTGAAAAAATGCTAGTTTTTTATGTCATGCAGTATATGAATCAGATATATCAATTCTGTAATTGAAGGCTGGAACTAACACTTATCTTCGCTTTTGATTATATTCTCTATCAACTGTTTGGTCTGTAAATGTCAGAATCTACCAGGAAAATATTAACATTTGATTTTCTCATTTAACTAATAAAGGACCAATTGGTGTGCATCTAATCAAAAGGCATATGTTCATTATCTAGGCTTTTAATAGTGGAAAATAGAAGAGGCAGTCACCTGTGAAAATCTAATGAATGGCCATCGAGCTTACCGTTGAACGTGTATCATCATTTATAATCACTGACAACATGCAAACTATAGTGACCTCTACACTGCTGCAGGTGTGACTTCTGTAGCAGTTTCAGTTTGATAATGGTGGACAGCTTGATGCAACAAGGAATAGAATCATTTCATTGTGCCAGCACATTACTAAAATTTCCCCATTTGTTTAATGTAAATATGAGTTATTGTATTTTCTTGCCTTTTTTCAAAGATTCTATGTTTGTTTGTTTTTTCTTTGTTTTGTTTTTTAGTTCAGTGACATGAAAATATCTGTACAGTGTTTTTTGTCCTGAGCAGTTATTTTCATTTATTCCCTAAAATGTGGCTGGTTGCATGTGATATTATATTTGTATTTACATATGCTATATTTTACAGCGTCGTCTAAGTCGGCTTTAGATATATGTGTGTAATTTTGCTTGGTTTGGATACAAGCTCATTTATTAGACATCTTTATACAGTGTAATTCATAATTAACGTGTGATGTGCTAGGCTGGAAAATTGAATGTGAGCCTGATTATTCTCAGAGGTAAGTGCGACGACAGTGTTCTCACATCAGCTTGTCCTTGGGTGGAAGTTTCCGTGAGCTGCGGCAAAACTGTTGCACTGTCCGCATGACCTCTCGTGTTCATATCCTTAGGTCACTGTAATCTGACAAGGTGTCTGGATACTTGTCAGGCTGCTACTCCCTGTTACTTGTGTTTATCTTGTGCAAATGATTTAGCTGTATGATCCAAACATGGGCTAAACAGTATCAATCCTGGCAGATACTTTTAGTTTATTTTCTGCAATGAGTAATGCACTATAATGAGCTTCCTTAGCTATTGTCAGAAATGATTCGGAGTCCTTTGTTTAAACAGGGGAGATGAAAAACTAAGCGTGTTTTTTAAACTTACTGTCTTTCATCTTTAGGTTGTGACCTCTGAACCCCTAAACCCTGACTTTTGCTGAGACCAGAGTGTGATCCATGGCTATAAAGAGCCTTCTGCACGCTGCTTCCACTTTCAGGAAGCAGCTGATGAGGGTGAAAGTGGTAAACTCTAACTCCGAGGACTCCCGTCTGTGCCGATGTCTCAACACCTTTGACCTGGTAGCCCTCGGTGTGGGCAGTACATTGGGTGCTGGTGTTTATGTGCTCGCTGGTGCTGTTGCAAGAGAGAATTCAGGCAAGTGACATTACTTTTGATAGTGAAAACATGCGTATTGAGGAAAAACCTGAAAGTTTTTAATCATATGATTCCCACCACCTTCCACAGGTCCTGCTATTGTGCTGTCATTCCTAATAGCAGCTATAGCCTCAGTGTTAGCCGGGCTTTGCTACGCTGAGTTTGGAGCCCGTGTTCCCAAAACAGGCTCGGCTTATCTGTACTCCTATGTGACTGTAGGGGAGCTGTGGGCCTTCATCACTGGATGGAATCTCATTCTTTCCTACGTCATTGGTAAGCATAAAGCACCACTGCTTTATTGTTTCTGTTTTGCCTAGTTTAAGGTCATGTGTAGGAGGAAATTTGTCTTCAAGAATGTTTTTTTCTTCGTCTCAGGTGCCTCCAGCGTGGCTCGTGCATGGAGCGCCACCTTTGATGAGTTGATAGGGAACCCCATAGGGCAGTTCTGCAGACAGTACATGGCCCTGAATGTACCAGGAGCACTGGCAGAGTATCCTGACATATTTGGTGCTTTCATCATAATCATTCTTACAAGTAAGAAGACATAGAAAACATTTAATATTACACTTAACACATTTTCCCAAGACATTTTTCATTTTCCATTTCTTTGTCCTTTGCAATTCTAAGGTCTGCTGGCATTTGGGGTCAAAGAATCAGCAATGGTGAACAAGGTCTTCACTTGTATCAATGTCCTAGTCTTGGTGTTCATGGTGATCTCTGGATTCGTCAAAGGCAATATTAAAAACTGGCAGCTAGACCCTGAAGAGATCCTACATGCAAGTTATACAACAAACAGCACCAAGTAAGGACATATTCAATGCTGAATCTTTCCCTTTAACTGTCTCTGTTACTCTATTTTGTTTTTATCTGGATGAAATTCTTTTAGAACTATATTTCATATTATTTATATTCCTCTGGTTTAGTGTGACAGACGTCCTGCCAAGCGCAGAGAGTTTAGGAATCGGCGGCTTCATGCCATTTGGATTCACCGGTGTCCTGTCAGGAGCCGCTACCTGTTTCTATGGGTTTGTAGGATTTGACTGCATTGCTACCACAGGTTAGTGCTGATCTGACCTGAAAACTCTGTCGACCTTCTGTTTTTGACTCCCTCTGCTTCACGTCTCGCAGTTTCACATACATCTCCCTTTGACGGCCTCATGGGTGTGTTTCCATTTTCAGGGAGAGAGGGGGGAATGTAACTCAATCTTTTTGGAACCGTTTCAGCCCCGAGCTTTCCTAAACATCCAGAAGTATTACATAACAGGGGGGCAAGAGAGAAATTAAAGATGCACTTTACTGCGTTTGACTTATTTCTGCTATTGGCTGAAGGCCAAAAGACTGCTACTCAGGTTAGGGGGGAACAAACAGGGTTTTGGAAGAGGGCATTCCAGAGGTTTTTCCCTGAGTTTTGCAGAGTTTGTGAACAGCCTTGTTTCTTTATACATGTTACAAGGTTTTTCCCACCCATAGGTTTCCTGAATTTTAACTGGCTGGCAAGCTGACCAGTTAGCCTTAAATTACGATTGTCAGACATAACACAAACTCACAATGATCTTTTTGCATGTGTGTGTGTGTGTATGGCAGTAAGAGTTAAGTTGGCATGAAGCCATACTCCATTTCCCCCTGACACACACACACAGACACACACAAACACACACACACATATCATCCACACAGCAGTTGTCTCCGTCACGTTTCAGAGCTCTTTTATTTTACAGTACTTTGGGCCTGCTTTGACACGTAACTGTGCGTCTTATGCACTCGCTCCATCACCGTAATGTGGTTTTATTACACAGCAAGGCCTTCCTACATAATCACCTGCAGCTGAGCAGTTAGGCCCCTCAGCATGGTGGCTCCCCCCCAAAAATAAGCTAATATCTTCAAACCTTGCAATGAATTGGGAGTGGCTAGTAACAAAGACATAGCTGTATAGCAGACGATGGGGCGATTTAGGAAATAACTAAGAAGGTAAAGTAATTTCACTACTATTTACAGGTTCAGTCAACCACTTAGCATTCAGTTAATTTCCACAAAACTTTGCATGCACTTCTCGATTCAACTGCAGCACTTCTGTAAATTATGTTACCTTTCTGAATACAGTGCCTGCACCCTGCATTCAAATGGACAATTCTCAGATGAAAGCATAAAACTCCTGCAAAATCTGAATATCCATCCATCATCCATCCAACACTAGAGTTTGTACTGTGTTCTGTGTTTTCGTTCCACTGAATTTTCACATATTCACTTTTCTGCCTCATGTTCAAACGCTGAAAGTAAGAATTTCTGTCTTCTGACGATGTTTTTCAAATATAAATATAAGCAAAAAATGGCACATTACCTGAAGATATTTCTGCACCCGTTGAAGTCATACAGAAGCAGATTTGCATATCTTGGCTCTTAACTGTGTCTATATATTATATATGTCCTAGGTGAAGAGGTGAAGAACCCCCAGCGAGCCATTCCTTTTGGTATCGTATCCTCATTGCTCATCTGCTTTGTGATCTACTTCAGCGTTTCTGGTGCTCTCACCCTCATGATGCCATACTACCTGCTGGACAGCAACAGCCCTCTGCCTACAGCTTTTAATTATGTGGGCTGGGGGGGCGCTAAATATGCCGTAGCTGTAGGCTCTCTTTGCGCTCTGTCTACAAGGTAAGAGATTTGAACTTAGAAGCACAATGCACATGTACTAGATCTTGTTCTGAGTAAACTTTGAACTGATTACCACTAAGATAAGCAACTGTGAATACCAGTAGATATTCTATTAGGCTGAGGAATATAAATTTGTTCCTTGTGGACTATGACATTTATTCAGCATTGTCCACTCAGTCATCATTAGACAACTGCAATTTTCCTTTAAAAAAATCAAACTGGAATCCTATCAAAATATAGATGTTTGAATGGGGAAATGAAACACTGTCACTCAGCTGCTACAGCTGCAGCAGGAGGGCAGGAGTCAGTAACTAACTCAGAGTTTAAGCTCCTGTTTTTTGGAACAGACGATCCAGAATTTCCCCTATTTCAGGATTAGCAAACTCAGAATCTTCACTACATCTGCTTTCTGGAGCGTAACCAAAGACTATCATTCATTTTAAATGCGCAGTTGTGTACACGGTTCTGTCTCAGATAACTACACACACACACATATATATTTATGTTTGTGTTTCTGAGCGAGAGTGTATATTTAACTTCGGAAAGCATTTGATGCCTTAACTAAAAATAAAACATGCTGCTGAGAATATAGCTGCACCATCAGTGTGTGAAGGCGATTATGTAACAGGGACTCAGAAAGGCTAAGGCAGGTGACTTTTTTTTTTTTTACTAACAATTAGTTTCTAATCACTTTAAATGATGGTCCATATATGTTATATTTAGCAATTAATAATAGCAACAATCAACCAATATTTTATTCATGATAGAACATAGAAAACACATCAAATGTTTAAACTGAGTATTTTACTATTTCATGATAAAAATTACGATACAATGATAATTTAGAATTTGATGGCACCAGACTGGGCATGGGTGCAACAAACAGCTGAAAAAGAACATTTTGATATTATCTTAAATGGTTCATCGCTGCACTAAAGGCAATAGCCAGAAATCAATATTGGAAGCTCATGTGCTTCGGCCCCTCGGGCAACACTGCATTAAAACCAGGCATGATTCACAAAGGTTAAAGCTCTATCATGCAGAGAAAAAACTATTTATGAACATGATCTAGAAATGCTGTCTTCTCTGGGCCAAAGCTGTGGTCCAGTGAAATGCAATTTGAAATTCCCTTAGGTAAACTTGGACACCGTGTCCTCTGGACTAGTAAGGAGAGAGACTATGCATGTTGTCATCGCTGTGTCCAAAAGTATGCATCTCTGATTTTAAGGGGATGCATTAGTGCATTAGTACATTAAAGGTTTTATAGTGACATATGCTGCATATCTCAGCAAGACTGTGTTAAACCACTTCTTGAAACACTTAGAACTGCATGGTTTCATAGTAGCAGAGGGTGCTCAAAGGGCCTACTTGGAGTCCAGACCTTTCACCAGCTGAAAAGATTTACATGAAATATTTTTTCTCCTATCATCACAAAAAGGTCGTGGTGGATGGCTGTCGCTCCCTGAGCCTGGTTCTGCCAGAGGGTTTCTTACTGTTAAAAGGGAGCTTTTCCTTCCCAGTGTCACCAAGTGCTTGCTGAAAGGTATTTGAGCAAGCACTTGGTATTATTGTAAGGTCCATATCTTTCAGTATAAAGAGTCTTGAGGCGCTGTTTTTATGAATTGGTGCTATAAAAATAAAATGAATTGAAAATAAACGTGTAGTGAAAAATACGATAAACAAGACCCAGGGCTGTTGAACAGCTCAAATCAGATAAGAGTGAGATAACATTCCTCTTTCAAAGGTTCAGCAGCTGATCTCCTCAGTTCTCGAATGTTTCGAGACTGTTGTTAAAAGAAGAGAGGATGCCACACAGTGGCAAACAGCATGGCCCTGTCCCATCTATACTAAGACATATTAAATTCAGCTAATATTAAATATAAAAATGAGCTAGTATCTTTGTTTTAATGGTACATTTTCTCAGTTTAAACATTGATTTTTGTCACGTTTTATTTTGAATAAAATATGGGTGCATAAGATCTGCAAAAAAATTGCATTAAATTGTTATTTACATATTACAAAGTTACATTACAAAGTGTTGCACATGTGTTCCTAACTTAAAATGTATGCACAACATATTTAAATATCCTGTGTTCTGTGTTTTTTTCTTTTGTCTTAATCTGCTGTATCTATGTTGAATGTAATGCTCCTTGCATATGTGTGCTGTTGTCTTTGCTTATGCATGTTTCACATGGTTGCTCCTGTGGATACTTTATATTTTGGTACGCCCTTCCCCCCATGTTAGCTTGCTGGGTTGTCTGTACCCTGTTCCTCGTGTGATCATGGCTATGGCTGATGATGGGCTGTTATCAAAGTCCTTGGCCAGGGTCAACTCCTGCACCAAAACCCCACTAAATGCAACTTTTGTCACTTCCTCTCTGGCAGGTGAGATACTAACATGCGTTAGCATTAAAAACTAATTATTAAGTGTTTTACATAGCCAGGTCTCTGTTTAGTTGGCTGAGGGAGTCAAGGTTATTGTGTCTATACTATAAGTCTTCCATTGTTTTTTCTGTTGGGAAACTTGAGACATATTTTCTAACTTGCATCTTGAGAAGGAGATGTGCACCAGCACTAATCCAAACTAAACCGCATGGTACGTGGACTAAAACTGACAGTAACAGCATGTGCAAAACATGCAGTCATACTGGGGGCCAAATTTTACATGCTGACATCAGAGTATCCTTGTCCCAGCATGTTGTTCTTCAACAGTGTTGCCAGTCTGGCACGCTGCAGCATGTTCTTTAACCCCCAGATCTTTCCACCCACATACGTCTACTTTCTCTGAATCTTCCCTTGGTACTCGCTGACCTTTCCTAATTCTTCTTTCCCCCTTGTCCCTCACGTTACACCAAACCGCTGCCATCACAATATGATGCCCTCCCCCCACCTTTACCCCAGTCTGTTGGGTTCCATGTTCCCCCTACCTCGTATCATCCTTGCCATGGCGCAGGATGGCCTGCTCTTCTCCTTCTTGGCCAACATCAGCGAGAGAAAATCTCCCGTAACATCTACTGTTGCTGCCGGGGCTATAGCTGGTAAGATAAAGGGGGGCGTTAAATAAAAACGCAAATTCCTGTATTTGAGTAGAGGGACTTGAGAGAGGCAGTGATAGAAGGTCAGGTTTGAATTGAAGAGAAAAAGAACAAAGCAGAGACTTTTTGGTTTTTGAAAGATTAAGTTTAAAAACTTTTTATAACTTTTTTTTTTTAATAGAGGCAGCTCTTTTTGCCACCTCCAGCCTATACTTTATCCATTCCCAACTGGGGCCCTTTTTAAAACTGAAAACATGCAAACCTTTAATCAAAACTTTAATCAACAGGTTTTTAATTTTTTCTTGATTTGTTTTGTTGAGATTGATTTACTATTAACTTCTTTTCCTGCTTCATTTTTTATCTTTCCCCACCAGTGACGTGATATGAGATTTTGCCCCATTTAAAAAATAGAGCGGAAAAATAAGAGTGTCATATAAATGAAATGGAATGACTTTGCCGCCAGGTGGTTGCTGGCTTCGCTCCATAATGCTATTTTTACCCTATATCCTAATACAGCACCCTAAGAAGATTGTAGTTGTGAAATTTCAAGTAAATTTTGAACTCATATAATTATATATTATACATTTTTTTGTAGCAAAGATTTCTTGTGTGTGTGGTAAACCATTGGAACACCAGAGGGTCATGACCCACACTTTGGGAATCACTATTGTGAAAAGAATATGTACATTCGAGCTAGCATCTTTATGAGGCTGTACTCAATGGCATCATTTGAGCTTATGATCAGCATACTTCTATGCTCACAGTAACTGTATAAGCATGCTGAATGTTAGACACATCTTAATTTATTCTTCTAAGACAAGTATGGAAAATAATTGATGGGATCAAACAAGCATTCTCACTTTAAATTTTTATTTTTTGTCTCCTTGTACTGTGAAGTTGTCATGGTGTTAATGTTCGAGCTGAAGGACCTGGTGGACCTGATGTCGATAGGGACGCTGCTAGCCTACACATTAGTGGCTGCCTGTATCCTGGTGCTCAGGTTGGTGAGAATATATCAGCTTGGACACGGTCTGAACATGTTTATAGTTGTTTATGCTAGCCAACAAAACTATTGGAAGCTATTTCAAACATACGCAGCATTGACATTGCTTATAAGCAGGTTCATTGTGTGCTAATGTTGCAGTGTGCATTACCAGCTTTGTCACCGGTGCTAGCAACTATTTTAAGTGGCAGGAACACAGAGTACAACTGCTATGTCTGAACACTTCATTATGGGTGTTTGTTCTTGTTGTTTCAGGTACCGGCCCAGCATGGGTTACCAGATTGTCAGTAGCCACGAGGAGATGGAGTTGAATGAGGGCAACATCCTGCCCGGTATGGAAGAGAGGCTCAGCTTCAAAACCTTGCTGTTCCCAGACAACCCCACACCATCCAAACTGTCAGGCTTCACTGTCAACGTCTGTGTCTTTCTCCTCGGTATGTTATTAAACCAGGACTGCCTTAAAATGGCAATAAAATCATACAAATAATGTAAGAAAATCAAGTATAAAGACCTTGTAAAGCACTTTAGTTTTAAATGTGCTGTAGAAATAACATTTATTTGCTTACTCAATAAAATGAAGGCGTTAGATCTTTGGTAAACAACCCAACAAGTGTGCTCGCCTTGAATGTAGGTGATGGATTTATTTCCAGTATCTTCACTGTTAAAAATCACATTGCACTTGTGAAGTATTACACATAAGATAATAACATTTCTTTCATTTTAAAGGAATGCTGATGCTGGCATTCAGTGTTCTGGCATCTTATGGAGATCTTGCTTCGTGGAACTTGGTAGCCCTCAGCGTCATCTTCATGATGTGTCTTTTCGTGGTCTTCATCATCTGGAGACAGCCCCAGAACCACACTAAACTCTCCTTCAAGGTTTGATTTAAGCCCTTTCAGCACTACCTCTGCCCCCTGAGAGTTCACGCTCGCTAAGTTTTAATGGATACTGTTACGCTTTCTCCTTTTGTGGTATTTGTCTCCCAGGTGCCCATGCTGCCCTTCATTCCAGTGATCAGCATGTTTGTCAATATCTACCTGATGATGCAGCTTGAAGAACGCACTTGGGTTAAATTCTCAATCTGGATGGCCATAGGTAGTTACACTCCATCGTTCTTTTTTTAACTGCAAGAATTCTGCTCGCTACACTTACCTAGGATGATGCTGAAAAGTCTCACACACCCAGCTGACTATTTTACTTGCTTTAGCTGCTTGAAATGGGCTAGCTGCTTTGACTTGACATTGCAATGTGTTCGCAGACCGATCTGAAACATTTACAAAACACGAGTAAACATACTTTGTCAGTTGGTTGCGAAAATGTCAATGTTATTAAAAAGGTACATGTTTTTAGACTGAAAAGTTCAGCAGGTGTATTTGCATTGAAAAGCTAGGATTCCATAACACCGGTTCTTTTTGCCTTTCCAGGTTTCGCGATCTACTTCAGCTATGGTATCCGTCACAGCACCCTGTCAGCTGCAGCTCATTCGACTCCGGACACAGAGATGATGGGCTTAGGGCTTAACCACAAGTCAGCATCACCAGAAAAGGAAGCCTTTCTGTCCAATGGCATTGATGTAAGGGAAGAGAATGATGGAGATTTGTAGGAATTTGCAAATCTCCATCATCAGATCACGCTGCTTCCAAGACATGCATCCTTGATAGCCAGCAGTCAGTCTGTGTCAGCTCACTGGCAGAACTTTCTTTTAGGGAAGGTAAAGATAAATACCTCATACCTAAAATTCACAAACTTCTGACTTACTTCTTCAGCTGCAGGGAGAACACAGCCATAACTGACATGTTCTGTATTTTGCAATAAGGTTCAGATTCAAGTGCCAATTATTACTTGACTATCAGGAATTAGGGCTTATGTTGGAGATACAGAATACATCATTGTCTTAAAGAGGTTGGGGGGGGGGCATAGTCTCTGTTTCTTTTCATATTGGGTTGTACTTACGTCTACAACCTGTGACTGAGCCACATTTTTGACAGCAGGAATATGTACAAAAGCCAATATGTGGGTGCCAGAAAGGTCTGCAATGATCAATGATGGATGGATTTTTGTTGTTGTTGTTGATGATGATGTTTGTATGTTGTATCAAAAGTTCATCAGTTAGGTTCATGAGTCTTTGTTGGACAATGACACATTTTTTGTACCAAGAGATTTTAAATCAAATGATCAAGATGTGAATCAAGGGAAGTGCAGACTTTAATTCAAAGTGTTTATACAATTTCTGAATTTAATTATCAGGGACAAAAAAAACCCTGGAGAAATTAACAAGGGTTGCTTTTAATAACTGGGCAAAAATCTTTTACAGTCAGTGATGGTCTGACATCCAGAAATTAGTTCAGTTTTTTCTTCTGAAAGTGTAACTCTGTTGGCTTGATGTAACTGATATGGCCATTAAAGAACATAGCCTTTCTTTGCCTTGAGAAAGTTGCTTTTGCAGAATGTGTTTGGTCATTATCCAGTTTGCACTGCGAAGTGTCCATTGTACAACCGGGTTGAATTGGAACATAGAGTACAGCCCTGCATGCTTCACAGTTCATCCTGCTACTTATATCAGCAGCTGAATCGTCATCAATAAACTCTAGTAAACTGGTTCCACTGGCAGCCATACATACTCATGCCATAGCACTGACTCCACCGTGTTTGACAGATGATGTGTTATGCTTTGGATCATGAGTTGTTTTTTTCCTGCTTCACTATCCTTTTCCCATTATTATTGGCTTCATCCGTGCAGGTTCTTTTAGATATATTTCTGGCAAAGTCTAATCTGGCCTGTCTCTTGTTGAGTTTAACCAGCAGATTGAATCCTCTTTTAAAATGACTCGATTTCCATTCATGAAGGCAACTAACTACCTCCTAAAGAGTGTTCTTGACTTTCTTAACCAAGAAAGTCAAGAACACTCTGATAACGACTGTGTTTAGACCGTCCCCCCCATTCCATGCAAGACCACCTGGGTTGGCCTGGGTTGGCTGGAAGACTGTTTACTTAGCCTGGCGGGGCGAAGGACACTGTCTCAGCTGAACTCTGGACACACACACACATACACTGATATGCACACACTGATCCCCCCTCCCTTTCCAAACGCCTTCGATGCTTGTGCCCTACCGGGGAAGATGGCAGTCGACTGGACCAGCGCAGACACGCTGCAGGACCAGATGCGCTGTCTACACCGGCTCTCTCTTACCCTTTCTTGTGTTTCTATGGTGTACTGATAGTCATGTGCTTTTTGTGCTGAGGTGTTTTTTCTGTTATCAAACTGTTCTCCCACTAGGAGCTCAGTCTGAGTGGAGTTTTTTTTCTCCTCCTCTTACCTCATGTTATGTATTTTTGTTGTTTTTTTCCTATCAGCCTACCTTTCTGACATGTCTCCCCAAAGTGATGTTTGTGTAAAGTTGGTCAGAAGGTTCCTTTGTAAGTGTGCATGCGCCATTAGCGTGCTGCCTGCTGTTACCCTAATTTCCTTCGGGATTAATAAAGTATTCTGATTCTGATTCTGATTCTGAAAAGAATTCTGCGATCATCCACTTTAGTTTCTCCTGTAGTTTCCTACGCTTTCTGGTGTTGCTCAGCTGCCCCCCTGTGTCCCTTCTTGTAACAGATTATTGATTTGGCAGCTGTTTATTTTGGTTTATTTTTGATTTAAAATCCATCGTTGTGTGGTGGTCCACAAAGGCTAAATTACAAAAAAACAAACACAAATAAAGTGTGTCATTGTCCATATACTTATGGACCTGAGTGTATGTGCAGCAGTCTTATCATCAGATAACACATGTAAGTATAAAATACAGGTTGGTATGAATACCTAAGTTCTCTAAAATCTCCCAGTTCTTATGTAACAATAGAAAGTATACTGTTCTAACATTGCTCCATTACAAGCTCTCACATTACACTTGGCTTATCTGTGACATAATTCTTCACTAACAGAAATCTGTGGTCAGGTCATTGTCTGGATGTATAAAAGCAGCTGCAGTTCGCTGTGCTTTACCGTTTCTACATGTGAAAATTTTTCATTGATGCCTTTTGAGGTCCAAAACTTGGTCCTCATGTTCAGTTGTGGTTTAACAGTACAGTTTTAATGCAGTGGTATGTTTGTTTATATCTTTGTTTTCTTAAGCAGCAATCATGAAACATTGTAAAGCAAAGATCTGCAACGCAGAATGTAATACACAAAATAATGTTCCAGGAGTGTAGACAACACTATTGCAAGTTGTTTAACTTGTGCATTGTGTTAGCTCTCCCATTGGTAATGGCAGTAAATCTAACTTCTGAATCTTTGTACATGTTTAGGATGAAAGCAATGACAGTTTCAGATTTTCAGTTCATGTCCTCCAACTTTAAGTGACAGTGGATTTTCACAGTGCTGGCTGCTGTATCTTTGCATTTGTGGTTTGTAGCATGTATTTTCTAATGCAAAATAAGAGAGGCCAAATTTTTACCACTTGTTTGTTTTTTCTAATCAAATGAAATGTCTCTTTTGAGGAAGTTATATGTCCGCCATTCATTTTACATGTTTTCTCCTGTTTATTGATGTGTTTTAATACCCATGCTGAATTTTTACAAATGTAATTGGATACTGTTTGGCTGAGTTTTACACCACTGTCATTAAAATATGTAACACACAAACTGAACTTAATAAAATTTTGATTGTATGATCAAAATGACTGGCTTCATGTTTTATTTCTTTAAACATGGTTTTCACTATCAAAATGATGCTTGCATTTTGAATGAAAGAAGCAGTGAAGCAGTGATGTTGGACATTTGAAGTTTTTCTGCTAGTTCATCCCAAAAGTGTTTAATGAGACTGAGGACAAGGCTCTGTGTTCGCCAGTCAAGTTCTTTCACAATAAACACATCCAACTATATGAATCTCGCTTTGTGCAAAGCGGAAGTGGGATCTAAATACTGTGTTCCCTAAACCCTAAACTGTTCCCATGACAGAAGCAGAGACTTGTCTAAAATGTCTTGATAACCTGAAGCATTAAGATATTCCTTCACTGAATCTAATGAGCCCATGGGCCAGCCGCAGGGAAGCTATAATTAGGGGTGTGGATACAATTGATTTCTTTAACTGTAGATGGCAGATCTTTAACTTTTCACACATATCATAGTTTCACTGCATTTGTAGTTCTTCAATTACAGTTTTATAGCCAAAGCACTTCCCATAATTTTATAAAAGGAATTTAACTCAAAGGAATCTACATGTTGTGCCAAATCACTATGTATGGACCTACAACAGTATGAAAGAGATGAACATAAAATACTGAAATACAGGAAAAGCGTGTAACTGTGTAAACTATAAATAAAAAACAGAATCTTTTATTCACAACTGAGATATTTTAGGACATCAATGTTAGGCCCACTTGATTGATTTAAAATCTTGGAAAATTTGTCATTTTCCAAAAACCTATGAACCTAATTGTATATACATCTTCTCACACACACACACACACACACACACACACACACACACACACACACACACACACACACACACACACAAATCCTACACATATCCTGCTATTTTGGTACCAGTGTCAGTATGTAGACTCCATATGTCTGTAATGCTTAAATGATTTTTGAATTTATAGCACGGTAGGACTTGTAATTCAGCTTTTCAAAATCCAGTCGCGGTCATATTGGAATCCCACCACGTGGGAAGAGCTGCTTCCCACATGTTCCAGCAGAGGGCGCACGTGTGTTAAAAAAGCCCGGCCGTCTGAGCAGAAGGATGCTCAGCCAGGTGTCGGCTGCAGCATCAGCACCGCTCCTCCTCCAGTTCCCTCCTCCTCCTGCTGTCCGCAGTACCTCTCTCTCTCTCTCTATCTCTCTATCTCTCTGTGCGTCGTTTCTGGTAGCCAGGGAGAGTGGGGAGGAAGTGGAGAGACGCGCTGGCAACTCCTGGGTTTTCACCGACATTCTTCAATGAATCAGCAACAGAGAAAGCTGCAGGTAAGTCGCACGACTGTAAACACCCCGTGCTTATTTTGCTCGGAGGGCTAGCATTGATTTCCCGAAAAAGTGTCGCACTTATTTTGCTCGTAGGATTTCGGGTCTTGCTGCCGGACTCGGTTCGACCAGCACCATAAATACAGTTTGTTTTTGACTAGGCCCGCATCACGGCAATGCGCGAAGGAATTTAGCTCGACTCTACATATAAATAGCTGTAACCTCGAAGTTGAGCCACAGTGTTGGAGAGAAAGTGAGGTCAGAAAGAAGAGACGGTGCGATGGAGATGGATGGAGCAGGTCAAGTCTCTGTGAGTGTTGCTAATGATCCAGTATAGATTTTAGGATTTAAACCAGATCCACTGCACTGAGAGATGATATGGACTTGATTTTGAAGGATTTTGTTTTCATTTCTCGCCAAATGTCATTTATTGATGAGCTATTTTTTGTGAGTGTATAGACTTCAAAAGCAAAGACTCTCACAGCTTTCTAATACATAACATATAATTCTTGTTAACTGATAGCGGAAAAGCTGCAATATTTTAAATTTCTTGTCGTGTTTGCCCGCTCAGGCTTAAGCTTTTTACCAGTGAAAGTGGACAAATGTACATTTATAATACCAAGGTTTGAAGTCTGATAGTATGATTAATAGCTTTTCATTTCT